AGCAGTGCGCACGCTCGCAGGTGCGCGCAGATGGTTGGCCCGACTTGCACTGCTTTACATCCGTCGGCCCCGGTCCGCGCCTGACGAGCCACATCGACTTCGGGATACCAGCCCGAACTCGCCTTCGCCATCGCGACCTCGACGACGTTCGCGTGCCTCCGCAGAACTCGTCGAGCAGGTTACCTGGTCGACCTGGACACCACCAGGTCAGTGTCAACTTGTTCGGGGAAAGTCGACCAGAAGTTGTATGTGCTCGTTGAGCACCCAGTGCTCTGGTCGACGACTCCCTCGTTGACCACAGCTCCTGTCGAGCAACATCCTGGTCGACGGACCCCTCCGTCGACCAGCATTGCAGCTGCTGTCGCCGAGCTCCCCTCGTTGACTGCTGCTCTCATGTCAGGTCGACGGACTGCTCCGTCGATCTCCCCGTCGAACTGCTCCTCCTGATCGACGGCCCACCCATCGACCGGCCCAGTCAGCTGCAACTGTCGAGCACCCCTGGTCGACGCCAACACCACAGCGATGCCCTGCAGCTCGACGAAGCCCGTCGAGCAGCTCCTTCACTGCGAACGGTCGGCTGATTCTCCCGTACACCCGACCAAGTCATCGGCGTTGCCCAAGCGAGGGCGGGGCCAACACTTCACTCCTGTTAACAGCGGTAGCTGTAGCAGCAGCGGTGGCTGCTGTAGCGGCAGTAGCAGCGACGGCTGTAGCAGTGGCAGCAGTTGCGGCTGTAGCTGCTGCTGCAGCGGCGCCTAGTAGCAGTGGCGCACGGGGCAGCGCAGCTCACAAGCAGCGGCGCCGGCCGGCAGCAACCGCGCACGAGGCAGCCTCAGCGCGCCAGCTGCGGCGGCGTGTCAGCAATGGTGGCACCAAGTAGTAGCGGTGCGCAGGGCAGGGGCGGCACGCAAGCAGCAGCGGCGCGCAGTCAGCAGCGTCGCATGGGCAGCGGGAGCGCGCACGGGCAGTGGTGGCGCGCACAGGCAGAGGCAGCGGTGGCACGCGCGAAGAGCTGCGCGCGGCACGCAGGGCAATGCAGGGCAGCGCGTGGCGCACGTAGCTGTGTGGGGCAGCGAAGGGCAGCACGCGCGTGCGAACGGGACGGGGCGCACGGCAATGCGACGCGCACTAAAAGCAGTGCGCTAGGGGCAGCGTGGGGCAACGTGCGTGTGGGGCAGCAAGGGGCAGTAGGTTCGACAGTGAGTATGGCAGTAGGTACGGTTTATAGGATCTAACCTAGTCTTGGATACCATGTAAAGAATGTACCAAACAGGAATGAGATGAACTAACAGGATGAGAGTACAAATAGGAAACCCTAGAAAGTTATACCCCTAAGGCTAGCCCCACCAGAGCCTAACATATATTAACATAGTTTTGACACCGCGTTCCACCAGAAGCGCACGGGCGCCAGCGGAGCGATCACGCAGCAGCGGCGGCAACAGCCCTCGCGCGGCACGTGCTGGCGCGCCGGCTGTGACCGTCGTGCTCAAGCTGTAGCAGATCACGACAAGCAGGGGCATAACAAGAATCATGCATTTAGAAACCTATTGCAAAGAGTTTTTAAGTATTTTCAAATGGTTTTAAAATGTAGGGGCCAAAACGTTTTTTGGTGAAAGCATGAACATTTTTTCGAACGTTTTCCAGACACACACATTTTTGCCCCGGCGTGCGACGAAGGCGTCGGGGAGAAAGCAACCTTTGGATATTTTCGTCTAGATACCATGCTAAAGTAGGAGAATAGGAGGTGCTAGGAGTTTGGAAAGTTATAAGAGCAAAAAGGGATTTGATACCGTCATACCCCGGATATAAGCGCCACCCGCGGATAAGCGCCTGGCGCTTTTAATCGGCGCCCGGCCTTTATATCCGGTGCTCGATTATAAGCGCATACCTAAAAGGCTTACATATTATAACCGCATACCTGTGCCTTACACATTATAACCGCCCCCCTTGTTTTTGGTGTTTTTTATATTTTGAAGACAATTACACTATTAAATCTACATCTAAACATCATTTTACCACTATTATTTTCACATCTAGTCAATCTTCATCTAAACTACTTCTACCTACAAGCTTTACACAGGCTTGACCATTTTCTATACGGTACATCTACCCTCGCAGATCATCAGCCGTAGTGGGGTCATCTGGGTCGGCCTCAGAGTCCGACCCAGGCTCTTCTACGTTGTTGCAGAAGAAGCTGTCTGCTGCAATTTCATCATCCACGTCGACCTCCTCGCCCTCAAGCTCATCTCGCCTGTGTTGCAGGCAGAGCTTGTCCTGGGACCCATCCAGGGCGTTGCTGATGCCGCAGGTGAGGAACACCCGTTGGATGAGCTCCTTGGGCACGGACTTCCAGGCCGCCGAGATCCACTTGAGCGTCAGCTCGACAGGCGGCTTCTTGATGTTGCCTGCCACGCAAATCCAGAAACAAAGTCAGGAGGAGTTAGATAAAAAAAAAACACCAACAAACAGGCTGCACATCTCACCTTTCTTCGTCAGGCTGTCGACGCCCTCACGCTCAAACCACTCCTGTAGAGCTGGCGAACGGCGACCTTGAAGGAGCGGTTAACCGCGACGTCGAGGGGCTGCACCTCCGAGGTGCAGCCAGCAGGGATGACCGCAGGGACCACGTTGAGCTTGCCAAACTTCTTCTTCACCTCCGGGGTCAGGTGCCCGCGGTACGAATCGAGGACGAGCATAACCTTCTTCGGGCGGACTCCGAACTTGGGGTTGATGTACGGCTTCACCGCCCCGTCCAGCCACTCGATGACCCCGTCCGCGTCCATCCAGCCGTTGGGATGGACCCCCACGTGGATATCTGCACACCAAATCCATGAAGGTTAGAACAAAAAAAAAAAAAACAAACAAACATCCCATGGCGCAATCGACGTGTGGTGCACATACCTGAAGGGAAATCTCCTTTCGGGACGGTCTTCCTTTTGAAGAAGACCCACGGCTTCAATTTTTCCCCGCTGGCGGTGCAGGCGAGCATGACTGTGACCCGCTCCTTCTGGTAGCCGCCGCTGCGGACGGGGATGGAGCGCGCGCCAACCTCTTCAACGGTGCGTTCGGATGGCATCTCGAGCCAGAGGGGCGTCTGGTCCGCGTTTAGAATCCACGGCAGGTCGATGCGGTACTGGCGGCGGGAGTGACGCACGAAGGTCCAGAAGTTCCTCACTTCAGCCTCGCAGTCTGACACGGGATGGGAGGAACAGAGAGCACAAACACAGAGTAAGAATCGTGAATCGAGAGCACACAAGCACAAACACACCACCATAAAACTCACTTGCCGAGAGCTTCTGGCCGACCCGGGTCTTCGCTCTGGTCGTCAGGTTCCAGCGGCGGCGAAATCGCTGAGTCCACCGCTGAGAGCCGGCCCACTTTTCACCTGGGTGTAGCTCCTTCATCACCTCGTGCGACCACTTTTGCAGTCGTGCGATGGAGACGGCGAGGCACTTCTTGCGGTGGGCGAGAAACCGACGGTACACCTCCGCTTCCATGTCGCGATACCACGAGCTCCTTCCGCGGCCGTGCAGGCGACAGCGTGCACCGTGCGCGCCCTCAAGCTCAGCCTTGCGGTTCTTCCACTCCGTGAGGCACCTTCGGGAGATGCCGGATTCGCGAGACATGCGCCGCACACTCATCTCGCCGGCTTCGAGCTTCAGAATCCATTGCAGCTTTTCCTGCGAGGTGTATTTGTGGCGCTTGTGAGTTGTCGGCTTGTGCCTGGGGGAGGGAGGACGGGCATCACGATTATTGTAAGATGGGTGGGGCCTTTTCTTATTCGGAGGAGGAAAAGAGGGAACTGGAAGGTGCTCGGGGAGACCATCAGCAGCCCAGAACTCCACGTCGTCGTCGGCACCGGTAGCGGATTCGTCCAACGGGCAATCAGCCGGGGCTCCCCACCGTGGCTCCGTTGCGGAGGAAGATCCTTCGCCGCCGCTGCGTTCAGGCTCGGACAGGAAGGCGTCGAACGCCGAGTAGCCAGGGGGGAGGAGAAGCTGCAGAACCCCCTGTCGCGGAACACAAACAGAAGGCGGGTCAGGAGGGGACGGAGGAACGGGAGGAATCGGAGGCGCCGGGGGAGCGGGAGGGGTAGGAGGCGTAGGAGGTGTTGGAGGAACGGGAGGCGCTACTGGTTGTGACTGAGGGACGGGCGCAGGGCGCCTCTGCCATTGAGACCAGTCACTGGTGTCTTGGCGGGTTCTTTCTCTAGCAGCAGGTTGGCGGCGGAACAAGAAATGCGTGCCTGGAAGGCCCGCCATGGCCACGGCAGGCCAAACGAGTGAAGAAAACTGAATCAGGAGTTGAGAATGGGGGCCGTAATGAAACCCTCGCCCGAGACCCCTTCAGTTTCGCGGCCCGGCTTCCTCTGCGGGGGAAGTGTGGCCACAGTCAAGATTCCCCGCAGAGGAGCTGAGCTGGGCAGCTCTTTGCCTCGGTGGCAGGGAATCTTGCTGTACATGGGCACGCCGTGGCTGAACCACGACGTGCCCACGATCGCATGCAACCCTGATTGGGCCGCTGTGATGCGAGGTACGTGTGCGCAGGCATGCGCCAGGTTCACGTTCGATGAACCTGGCCGGGCCAACAAGGCGTGGAAGGCGTGTTGCCACGCCTTGTTGGCCGTTTCACGCGCATAGCATGCACAGTTCCGAACGTTCTCGACTCAGGTGAATTCGCCTTTGTGAATGCTTCGATTTGGTATATTTAAAAACAAATTTCATTTTTGTCATAACATAAACGCCGACGCTTATAAATTTACTATATTATAACCCCACCCCCTAAAAAAAACATGTTTTATTAGTGCCCCCCATGGGGGTATATCCGGGGTATGACGGTACCGTAAGAATGATCAAGAAGAATACAAGCAAGGGGCAAGGATTACGCAAGGTGCACCACCAACAGCTGAAACAAACAACTACAGTCAAATTATATATAGAAATATAAAAATGTTTTTATTTACACAAACCCTTATCGTAACCAACACGGACAACGCTATATCACGGAAGGGGTAGGCTGGCGGCAGCAATGATGTCGCGCACATCCGGCTCATCACCTGCCTTAACCTGCAGGGATGGGAGAGAGGGGGTGAGGGTGGCTGTTAGCCGTGTGATGCTCACACGTGTGTCGCGTGCGTGATGCAACAGAACGAGGTGAGGGTCAGGTGAGTGGTACGTAGGGGCAGGTGATGGGCAAGTGAGGGGCAGGTGAGGGGCAGGTGAGGGGCAGGTGAGGGGCAGGTGAGGGGCATGTGAGGGGGATGTGTGGGGCATGTGAGAAACATGTGAGCAACATGTGAGCAACATGTGAGCAACATATGAGAAACATGTGAGAAACATGTGAGAAACATGTGAGAAGAATGTGAGAAGCATGTGAGAAGCATGTGAGAAGCATGTGAGAAGCATGTGAGAAGCATGCGAGAAGCAAGCATGTGAGAAGCATGTGAGAAGCATGTGAGAAGCATGTGAGAAGCATGTGAGAAGCATGTGAGGGCACCTTGTGCAGGAAGAGCAGGTTGTCAATGCCCGGTCCCGCCAGGATGATGCCCCCCTGCCTGTGATGGTGGTGTGGCACATGAGGAAGGCACACACGGCATGCACAGAACAGGAGGGGAATTCTTAACAATCTATGAATATCAACTCAGTGGCCCTTGTACTTGTGCAGGCCGTTCACACGCAGTGTTGGCATGCAGTTCACTTTCACTTTAACAGAACCTGCATGGCTTGACGCTAGGTAAGGTATAGACAAAGGCAATTTGCGTAATCCTGCGCCCTTGTGATCTGCGCTCCTGCACATTGCCATCACCCCTGGCGCTGCACTCACCACGCCCCCCGCAGCACTCACCACGCCCCCCCCAGCACTCACCACGCCCCCGCAGCACTCACCACGCCCCCCCCAGCACTCACCACGCCCCCCGCAGCACTCACCACGGCCCCCTCAGCACTCACCACGCCCCCCCCAGCACTCACCACGCCCCCCTCAGCACGGTGTCTCCAGTCCTGCTGGAAGCCCTCCATCCTTCCCCCCTCTCTCCAGCAGTCACCAACACTCCCCCCCCCTTCCCCCCCCCCCAGCACTCACCACGCCGCCCTGAGCAAAGTGTCAGCGTGCAGCGACAGCCCCCAGTCCTGCTGAAAGCCCTCCATGCGCGCCCTCGCCACACTCAGCGCTGCCTGCAGCATGGCGGGCACGTGGGCGGGGCGGGACCAGGTGGGGGGAAGATGGAGAGTGGAGAGTGGGCATTCATCCGAGCAGCAGCTGACCAGTGGCTTGAAACAAGGGCACTCGTGCATTAGCAGCAAGGGCACATTCATCGTCAGCCGGCAAACACAGCGCTCTTTGGCACAACCAGGCTTCCCTATTCAAATGCAACGACGCTCACACCTTGACGATGCTTTTGACAATGGTATTCAGGGGTCGGACGAGACGGGAAGAGTGGAAGCGAAGGGGAAGAGAGGAAGCGAAGGGGAAGAGAAGAAGCGAAGGGGGAGAGGGGGAGTGAAGGGGGAGAGGGGGAGTGAAGGGGGAGAGGGGAAGCGAAGAGGGAGAGAAGAAGCGAGGGGGGAGAGGGGAAGCGAAGGGGGAGGGAGGAAGTGAAGGGAGGGAGGGGAAGCGGGGGCGGAGAGGGGAGGGGACTGACGGTGGGAGAGAGGACGGTGGAGAGGGGAGGGGACTGACGGTGGGAGAGAGGACGGTGGAGAGGGGAGGGGACTGACGGTGGGAGAGAGGACGGTGGAGAGGGGAGGGGACTGACGGTGGGAGAGGCCCGACACGAACTGCAGCGCCTCGTATGACGCGCGCTGGCGGTCCCTCTGATGCCATGGGATGTGGTGGCACCGTGGGCGGATGGGAGATGGTGGTGAGAGCAGAGAGGTGTGGGGATGCGAGGGAGGGAGGGGGGGCAGTGATGGGGTGTGAGGGGAGGGAACGGAGAGAATCTAAAGTGAATGATCGCAGGCGGGGAGAAATGAGCTCAAGGACACAAACGAAACATTGTACAGACCGGTCTTGAAAAGCACGATGCTATTGAATACTCGAGAATTTGAGACCGATCTTATGCACGTGGGAGAATATGGTGCAGTGGAGAGAACAGAGAGGCAGCAGCGTGGCAGAAAGGAGCGAATGCAGTGCAGCCAGGAGGTAGGCAGAGAGGCAGAGAGGCCCATACGCTCACCTCCTGGGAAGTTGGTTTTATCAAACAAACTGCTGCGCCTGCACACAGAAGAGACATGAAGCCGTGGCAACTCACAAGCCCGGCCCAGCTCACATGATGATGAGCGTCACGCCTGCTGCTTGAAACGCATCCTGACAATAACGAGGACATGGCAGAGAAGCAGAGCCAGATAGATCAGAGAAACTTCAGCTGCCAAGCGATAGGCGTTTCAGAGAGCATGCAGCAAAGAGAAAGCAAGCACCGAGGGAGAAAGCAACAAGTTGACTGCCTTCTCACTGCCCCGCCTTCTCACTGCCCCGCCTTCTCACTGCCCCGCCTTCTCATTGCCCCGCCTTCTCATTGCCCCACCTTCTCATTGCCCCACCTTCTCATTGCCCCACCTTCTCATTGCCCCACCTTCTCACTGCCCCACCTTCTCATTGGCCAGCATGGTGGTTAGCTTGCGACAGAGCAGACAGCTGGCAGGGCGACATGGGCAGGGGAGGGCAGCGCGCAGGGAGGGCAAGACGAAGAGAGAGGTGCGACCAGTGCATGGGGGCAAGACTATACCCCGAAGTTTTCATGATGCTCAATCTAGTCACCCATGGGCAAAAACGTTCATGAGTGAGAAATTTTCCAATTGTGATAGGCTGAGCATCGACTCAGTCGCGAGTTTTTCAGCTTTTTTTACCCTCAACCACCGATTTTGACAACACCCTGGATCGCGAGCCAGTCGCGTTCCTTGCCCCAACCAACCTTCTTTAGTTAAACCTCTTGGACCCCGGAATCCTAAACTGAGGTCACAAGTTTGGCAAGATTGGTTCAACCTTTCTACGCTTGGTTGTGTGTAACCCAGGTTGACGGCATGGTGCTCAGAAAGGCCTCAGTTGCATGTCCTCAAACTAATGCCACCCAAAAATATTGTATCTACTCTACTGGATCGTCTGCACCGCAAATGTGTCGCATAGCAACTGAGGTAGGAAACCCGAAACCAGCGGGCATGAAACTTGAGACTCTTGTGTTTAGTCATCACCGTAAAAGACTAACGATACTGGATGATCACCTGCCTTACTAGGCCACCAACTTCCCATCTCCAGGCGGGGTAAAATCCCACAATTATGCACAAATGTATAATATTTGTTCAAATCTGACAGGCAATTTCGCTGAAGCGGCGCATTTAGTGCAAAGAGTGGCTTAGGTCACGCCAACAATGGCGGAGTAGCGTAGGCAAGGCGTCAGCTTTGGCGCGAGGAAAATCGACACGACATTCCCAACCCGCGCTGTAGCGAGGGTTTAGGCTTAACAATACGCGCAGGTGTGGTCGCTGGGCGAGTTTAGAATGAGATACGAGCGATGTAGCCAATTTCGCGATGCTTGTCACGCAATGACGTGCAAGTCGCATGGAGCTCGTCAGGCGACATGCGCTATCAACCGCTCCGCGACCGCACCATTGACTCCACGTCTCTTATTCTCGCGTTGCACTTTCCGTCGCCCATTCCCCTGCCTTCCGCCCAACCCTTTCCCTCGACTCTGGTGTTCGTCGCCATTGTCCTTGTTTATTAGTGGGGCTGCTTCACCTTGCACAGAAAGGCGAAGTTTATCTCCCGCGTTCTTCCTCAAGGAATGTACCCTCTTCAAAGTGTAGGGACGTACATGTGTCAAAGGAGAAAGCCCAGATTGCTAAGGGAGAAAATACCCAGCCTGTGTGATCACAGCTGCTGCCAAATCCAGGACGAGGGTGGGTTTCGTGAGGCAACGAAACCATCTGGTTATGAAAGAGGGTCGAGCGCAGAGTCAGCAAACGTCACTTCCAGTAGTGATGATGGTGTCATCATGGTCGATGGGAAAGTGGTGGAAGTGTATGACAATGCCGGACCCCCACCCCCTTGGCTCTCTTCTCTTTGACGACTCGCGGGGAACCGTATGCTGCGAGGGGGTGTGGGTGAGCGGCTACCGCGGGAAGGAGCTCCGCGTAAGTCGTCGTTTATTCCATAACGCGAGATCCTGCTCGACGATGAATTACTTGACATTTATACGAGAAGTAGGTCGCCGCCTCTGCGAGGAACAGTCGCTCGGGCTGCTGTGGGGTCGCCTCCCGGCCGGCACGTACAACACGCAGTAGCGCAGACGGCAGGAGGAGGGGTAGTGGGAATAAGCAATGCAACACGACGACCTGGAACAGCGGGAGGGAATGGAGGGGGAACAACGAAAGGGGGCAGGAGTGTAGAGATGGAGGTTGTACCGGCTCAATTACGGGCAGCAGTGTCGCAATGGCCAGAGCCAGGGCCGAGGGCAGGGCAGACGCAACGTTGGCCACCACGCTCATGACCAATGGCTGGCCTCAGGTCAGGGCTGGGGCTTAGGGTGCGGCATTGGCGAGGGCGTGGGCGAGGAAGACGGCTGGTGCAGACAGGACGAGAAGGAGCACGCGGACGGCGGCGAGAGACCGTTGCAGGGTGTGGGCTTGGAGAAGTGCGACGTGCCGCCGGCAGGCAGTGCAGCTGCAAGGGAGGTAGAGGCACTAGGAGGAAGTTCTGCGGCCGAACAAGGCGCACAAGCACAAGAAGCAGTGGCCGCGGAAACAGAGTCAGCACCCGAGGAGCCCGGATGTCTCCCGGCGGCAGCAGGGGGGTGCCAGGGGAAGAGGCGGAGGCACAAGGAGGAGGGTCCGCGGCACAACAAGGCGCGCAGGAACAGGAAGCACCAACCGCAGAAACAGAGTCATCACCCGAGAAGCCCGGAGGACTCCCGGTGACAGCAGGGGGGGAAGGCAGAGTAAGAGGCGGAGGCACAAGGAGGAGGGTCCGCGGCAGAACCAGGCGTGCGGGCACAGGAAGCACCAGCCGCAGAAACAGAGTCAGCACCTGAGGAGCCCGGAGGACTCTCGGTGGCGGCGGGGGGGGGGGATGCAGGGGAAGAGGCGGAGGAATTAGGAGGAGGGCATGCGGCAGAACTAGGTGCGCGGGCACCAAAAGCACCCGACGCAGAAACAGAGTCAGCACCTGAGGAGCCCGGAGGACTCCTGGTGGCAGCAGGGGGGGAGGCAAGGGAAGAGGCGGAGGCACAAGGAGGGTCCGCGGCAGAACCAGGCGCGCAAGCACCAGAAGCACCAGCCGCAGAAACAGAGTCAGCACCCGAGAAGCCCGGAGGACTTTCGGCAGCGGCAGGGGGGGAGGCAGGGGAAGAGGCGGAGGCACAAGGAGGAGGGTCTGCGGCGAAACCAGGCGCTCAGGCACCAGAAGCACCAGCCGCAGAAACAGAGACAGCACCGGAGGAGCACGGAGGTCTCCCGGCGGCTGCAGGGGGGGAGGCAAGGGAAGAGGTGGAGGCACAAGGAAGAGGGTCCGCGGCAGAACCAGGCGCGCAGGCACAAGAAGCACCAACCGCAGAAACATAGTTAGCACCCGAGGAGCGCAGAGGACTCTCGGCGGCGGCAGAGGGGGATGCAGGGGAAGAGGCGGAGGCAAAAGGAGGAGGGTCCGCAACAGAACCAAGCACGCAGGCACAAGAAGCACCAGCCGCAGAAACAGAGTCAGCACCCGAGAAGCCCGGAGGACTCCCGGCGGCGGCATAGGGAAAGGCAAGGGAAGGGGCGGAGGCACAAGGAGGAGGGTCCGCGGCAGAACCAAGCGCGCAGGCACAGAGAGCACCAGCCGCAGAAACAGAGACAGCACCCGAGGAGCCCAGAGGACTCCCAGCGGCTGCAGGGGGAAGGCAGTGGAAGAGGCGGAGGCACAAGGAGGAGGGTCCACGGCGGACCCTGTGCCTACGCACCTGGTTCTGCCGCGGACCCTACTCTTTGTGCCTCCGCCCCTTCCCCTGCCTCCCCCCCTGCCGCCACTGGAAGTCCTCCGAGCTCCTCGGGTGCCGACTTTGTTTCTGCGGCTGGTGCTCTCAGTGCCTGCGCGCCTGGTTCTGTCGCGGACCCTCCTCCTTGTGCCTCCGCCCCTTCCCTTGCCTCCCCCTATGCCGTCGCCGGGAGTCCTCCGGGCTCCTTGGGTGCTGACTCTGTTTCTGCGGCTGGTGCTTCTTGTGCCTGCGTGCCTGGTTCTGCCGCGGACCCTCCTCCGTGTGCCTCCGCCCCTTCCATTGCCTTCCCCTATGCCACCGCCGGGAGTCCTCCGGGCTTCTCGGGTGCTGACTCTGTTTCTGCCGCTGGTGCTTCTTGTGCCTGCGTGCCTGGTTCTGCCGCGGACCCTCCTCCTTGTGCCTCCGCCTCTTCCCCTGCATCCCCCTGTGCCGCCGCCGAGAATCCTCCAGGCTCCTCGGGTGCTGACTCCGTTTCTGCGGCTGGTGCTTCTGGTGCCTGCGCGCCTGGTTCCGCCGCGGACCTTCATCCTTGTGCCTCCGCCTCTTCCCCTGCCTCCCCCCCTGCAGCCGCCGGGAGTCCTCCAGGCTCCTCAAGTGCTGACTCTGTTTCTGCGGCCGCTGCTTCTGGTGCCTGCGCGCATGGTTCCGCCGCGGACCCTCCTCCTTCTGCCTCCGCCTCTTCTCCTGCCTCCCCCCCTGCCGCCGCCGGGAGTTCTCCGGGCTCCTCGGGAGCTGACTCGTTTCTGCGGCTGGTGCTTTGGTGCCTGCGCGCCTGGTTCAACCACGGACCCTTCTCCTTGTGCCTCCGCCACTTCCCCTGCCTCCCCCCCTGCCACTGCCGGGAGTCCTCCGGGCTCCTCGGGTGCTGACTCTGATTCTGCAGCTGGTGCTTCCTGTGCCTACGCGCCTAGTTCTGGCGCAAACCCTCCTCCTTGTTCCTCCGCCTCTTCTCCTACCTCCCCCCCTGCCGCCACCGGGAGTCCTCCGGGCTTCTTGGGTGCTGACTTCGAATGTGCGGTTGCTGCTTCTTGTGCCTGCGCGCCTGGTTCCGTCGCGGACCCTCCTCCTAGTGCCTCCGCCTCTTCCCCTGCCCCCCCCTCCCGCCGCCGGGATTCCTCCGGGATCCGAGGGCGCCGATTCTGTTTCTGCGGCTAGTGCTTCTTGTGCCTTCGCGCCTGGTTCTGCCGCGGACCCTCCTCCTTGTGCCTCCGCCCATTCCCCTGCCTCCGCCTTTTCCCCTGCCTTCCCTCCTGCCGCCGTCGGGAGTCCTCCGGGCTCCTCGGGTGCTGACTCTGTTTCTGCGGCTGGTGTTTCTTGTGCCTGCGCGCTTGGTTCTGCCGCA